ATATATATATATATATTTCATAAGTTGTTGATTAATCTTGAAATATTAGAATTACTTAGATAAAGTTATAAAATAGTTTGTTAGTACTCATCACAAACATTAGTAACAATCATCTTACGATAAGATTTATTCTAATATTACTTGTTTATACATGCACTTGAATATGTTTTATAATATTAATTACTATCAATCTATAGACACTCTTATGAATTTGAATATTAAGCTTTCATAAGGAGGAGGGAAGCCCTTATAAAATCTCAATAATGTTAGAAACGTGTTAAAAAAACTAAACTGCCTCACCATTAGTGAACTATACATTTTGATGCAGAAAAAACATGATAAAGCAATCATCTCACCTAAAAATTTAAGCTTGTGAGTGAAGGCTCATATTTCTCTAATACACCCTTTCACACAAGAGCTCTTTAGCCTTGAAGCGTGGATATTGCACAGGTCTATTTTTCGGTAATACCTTGTGCTGCCTTAATTACACTAGAAAGTAAGGGGCACTGAGGATCGAATTAGTGGCCCTATGGTCACAGATGCTCGATTTCATGTAAAGAACCATTTCAACCCAAAAGTTTAAGTTGAGAAGTGAAGACCCATTAATAATTTTTATATTATATTTCTCTAACAGAAGAAAAAGATAGACTAAATTAAAAATTTGGATTTGATAATGAATTTTTTTATCTTAAAATTGAGTTATCAGAATAAAAAAAAAAAAACAATTGCATTACAGTAATAATGTTAAACACACTTCTATAAGTAATTACAAATCAATCAAAATTAACTATGTTTCAAAAAAAGTTTTTAAGATAGGTGATTAGAAACCAATAAACATAAACTAAAAAAACTACATTTAAATCAATACTAATAAGTAAAATAACATTTTACAAATGAAAACTTATCATCAATTAAGCTCAATGTACATCACAAATTTTTGTTCTCAAAGCAAGTCATTTTCCTTTAACACTCATGGCATAAATCTGATTTAGAATGAATTTGTTGAATCAATCGTTAAATACTTAAGCCATGATTAATGAGTCAATGGTAAATGTATCACTCATAGGGCCCATTTAGATGAGCTTTTGAAAAAATGACTTTTTGTGCATTAATTATTTTAGAAGGACTTTTAAAAAGCTAAAGTTATTTTATATTTGGACATAATACATGAAAAATACTTTTAACTAAATATATTATTCAGATGTTAAAATTAAAAAGTATAAATTACTAAAAAGGTAACGTGAAAATAAATTATAGGAGTAGATTTGGTGGCGGCAATGGCGGTGGAGGTAGTGGCGAGGTGGTGGTGGAGGTTGGGTAATGGTGGTGATGACAATAATGGTATGAATGGTTGTGAGGAGATGGCAGTAACGACGATGTGGTGGTAGTTATGACCTATGTTGCATTAACACCGACATGAGACACGACACGATACTCAAACACATTAATTCTAAAAAATATTAGATTTCAACACGTTATGGCATGTTTTAATATTAAATAAATTTTTAATTTATGTAGTATATGTTGAACCATAGGTCATGAAGACTATGATATTGAAGTTTTGATGATAACAAAACACCTATAAAGGACCAACATAACTCAACATGGATGCTCGCAATACAAGGCATGACAACAAGTCCTAAATGGTACAAGAAGCCTATAAGAAAGTGCAAACATGAAAAGAACACTCAAATTGGCAAAGTCGAAGCTCAAGTCAAAATTTCAAGTTCAAAAGAAGTATTAGAAGACTCAAACAAGGAAGACAAAGAAGACTCATGTGCTTACTGTTTGTTATGTTTTTTTAGATTCATAGAACTTATAGGAATGAGTTTATTGAGCTTTATCTTAGGAATTGCATAATTAAACTATAAACTCATATAAGTGACACATATTCAGTTTGATCATGCATACAAGATCACATACACATCAAGAGTTGTTATACAAGTGTGAAACATGATTATACATATGTTAGATGTCATTAGAAATCATTTAGAAGTCACTGGAAATCAATTAGATGCATTAAGATTCGAAAACCAACATGAAAATTGATTTCTGCATAAAAGTAATCGAATGCTTTCTGGGTTTGAAGAAGTATTCGAATATCTGATGAACAAGAATCGGATACTTGCTTAACTTGAAGAAGTATTCGAATAGTCCCCGAAAAGTAATGAATACTTTCACTTGTAAGTGACTTAAACTCGAAGTAATTCAAATATTTGATGTTTAACAACTATAAACGAATATTAACTCGGCACCTATAAATACATGTTATTAAGGTTCTGAACACAAGAATTAAAACTGGAAAACTCAAAATCTAAGAGAACTCAGAATTGAACCCATATTGGCTTAGTTTTTCACATCCTTGAAAAAAAACTCAATTATTCTCTTGTTTCTCAATCTTTTTTGTTCTTTCATTTTTGTTTGAACTTAGAGAGGCGACTTTAATCTGTTTAAACGAATTTGAATGCTGTAAATGTTGGTGAGACAATTGGAGTAATCCTAAGGTGTTAGGTTGTGTGTGATTAAAGGATTGGTCATAGACTTAAAAAATTCCAGTTGTAAAAAGGTTTCTTCAAGCACCTGATGGAAGCTTGATGATAGTGAACAGATCGACCTCAGTCTGGATATAGCTCTCAAGTGGTTAGAGAGTGAACCAGGATATATCACGGTGTGATTTTTCCTAAACCCTTCTCTATATTGATTTCGATCAATTAATTTCGTTTTGATTTTTGTATATGTTATATTGAATCTGTTTGAGGGTTGGGAATCATAAGTTTTATGTTTAAATTCGTTCTTGCATGATTTCTTGAAAAGAGTTGCCATAAACATTGATTTTCTCTATTTTCCCATTCAATTTTGATTCCGCTGTATTACCTCTGAAATTTGTGTTATCAGAATTGTTTTAATTTTGTTTTGTATTGAGAAAAAAGTTTATATTCTGTTTGAATTCGTTTAGGTTGAAAATCTTGTTAAAGTGTTGTGTTTTTGAATATTTCTTGCATTAGAAGTAACACACAGTTCCTCTTGTGTGATTGTTTAGTCATATTTCTTTTCAGTGTATATTATATTTAATATTCAATAATTTAACAAAAAAAGAAACTAAACTTATAATACCCATCAATTTTGCAAAGAAATATAAGATGTAAATATTTACTATTGTATTTTCAAATTGAAAACCTCTTATACACTACAGTGAGATTTATTTGGTATCCATCTTTTATTTTATTATATCAATTTGGTAAAACATCGATTAATTTTTCCATGATATGTAATGAAATTTCAAATATTATAGATGACAGAGCGTGTTAAAGTGTCCGGGAGCGTCAGGCACGACACTTCAGGTTTTTTGAAGTGTCGGTGCTACATAGGTTATGACAGGGTATGTGAGCGGTGGGGTTGTAATGGCAGCAACAACAATGGTGGAGGAGGTGGTGGTGGTGACGGTAAAGAGATGGATTAGCTGGGGTTGGGAAAATTTGAGTTCTAAAAAAATATATTTGGCTTTTGACTTTTATTTTTTAAAAGCCAATTTTTTTTTTATACATTGAGGTAAAGACATAAAGCAAAGAAAAAATAAAACATAGAAAAGATTAGACAGGGAAGCTTTTAGCGAGTCTACACATGTCTAGCCAAAATCACACCCATATTGTCAGCCTGAAGATGATACCATAGTTGGGGGGGGGGGGGTTCAGAGAAGTGAGCCTTATCAGGTAACTTCAAGTGAACCAATAGATAGTTTGCCAACCAATCCGCGCACTGGTTGCCCTCTCAAAGAACATACATACCGAACATCATATTATGAGGGAGTATACTTATAATCTTTTCAACCACCTCCAAATCGAAAAGTTGTAGCAGCATGTTATAATTCCACTTTCCATCCTGGCCTACCACTTGATTGAGGCAGCAATCGTTCAAATCTTCGGGTACACTGCTTGGAACATGATCCAAGAAGCATATAAAAGAGTCGACCCACTTGTCCTTCCAAAAAGAGATTGTCTCCCCATTTTCCAAACTATGCTATCTTGCATATTGAGCATGATATTGTAGATTGCCTTCCAGAAAGGAGGGCATCCAGCCTTAGGGATTGACACTTGATCAACTTGCACCTTGTATTTGTCACGCAACGAATGAGACCAAAGAAAATTGACTTCATTTTGAAAGCGCCAAACACATTTCATTAGAAAAGCATAATTCATTAAAGCTGTGTTCCTCTGGGTAATCAGGATATCCCAGCCCACCGCGTGGTATGACCTATTCTGATGAGTATTCCCCTAGATAAAGTTTTGTTGGATTCAGTCTAGTGAGAAAGAAAAGCCAAGCACATTTCATTAGAAAAGCCAAAAATTTTGATTTTGAAAAAAAGAGAGTAATTTTTTTGACTTTTTTATGACTTCTTCTTTTTTAAAAGCATCTCCAAAAATTCATTTATAGCGAGAAAGATATTTTTTAAAAAAAAGAAAAAAAAACATTGAAATGAGCTATATGTCGTAACAAGTTTACTTTTACAAGCTTACAAATAGTTAAAAAAAGAAGAAGAGGAATTTGACCTTTGTAAAGCCATTTTTAATTTAGCTAAAATATAAATGGTGACATGTGTTGCACTCAACTGCACGTTGAAAAACCGCCTACAGATTATGCGCTTATTTTCGGTTCACTTTGTCTCCACTGCTACAGCACTGCTCATGTAAAAAGTTAAAAAAAACTAAGCCAAATAATATTTTTATATTATAAAAATAAAAATAAAAGTTTGTTAGGTTGAAATTGAAAGCAATATAGAGAAAGAAATAATTAGAAAGAGCATTGACATTATGAAATGAAGTATTGTGTCGTTGAAATCTTGAAATCGCAAGCATTTAATAAGCACTAAAAATCAGTTGGGGATTGAAAAAAAAAGAAAAACGCTGGCGTGTTGTTTCATTAGCATTTTTGGCTTTTATTTTTTGCATTTATACTCTAACAACTCCGAAACCACAGAAAAAGAAAAAGACAGAAAAAAAATAAAAATAAAAATCTGAGGATTGAAGAAGTTTCTTCATTTACCAACAATTTCCCTTGAACACTGAACAAAGAGAGTTGTTGGAAAAACATGGGTAATCGTTTTATTTGCATGATAAAGAAGGAACCCAAAGATGTTGGATCGAGAAGCAAGAGAATGGGTAGATCACAGAGGAAGTTGGTGACTGAGGAAGAACTTCATCTGCAAGCACTCTCTATGGCACTTCAACAGCATCAATTGTCTCAGAGATTTGAAGGGTCCATGTCTAGGAGAATTGGTTCAACAAGCTCTAGAAGGCGCAATTTATCTGAGTCATTCTCAGCCAACAAACAGGTTTTTTTTTTTTTTTTTAATTATTATTATATTTTTTATAGCATGATTTGTGGGTTATTGATTGAAAAGTTTTGATTTTTGAATCATTTGATCAGTTGCAAAAAGTGGGTTGTCATGATTAAAGATCTTTAAAGTATATGGGTAGAAGTGAAGACTAGTTAATTGCTAGGGTAAGCAATTGAGTCAACAGAACAAGCCTTAGCTGAAAAGTGTACATTGAAAAAAGAAATCAAGGGCTTACCTTTTTTTCTTTTTTATGACTAAAAAGGTGCATCTTGAAAAGTAGTGTGCTTTGAAAAGCAAATGCTATTTATTTATGTTTAGTTGCCTGTATCTTGTACTTGTTTATATACCCCACTTCCCTGACTCCACTAAATACTAATGCGTTTTGACCCCATTTATTCTTAAGCGCCATGGGAAAAATGCTTTTCTTCCTCCTTTTTTAGGAGAGAGTTCAGCACAGTTGTGTAAGGGGAAAAAATGAGAGATGTTGAGCAACCTGGCTGTTGGTACTTTTGTTGAATCAATATCTGAGCTGGTGGTGATGCTTAATTATGTTATGTTAGTTCTTATGCAGTTGGATTTTGTCTGTGATTTAATGTAAACTAACTCCTTCTAAGGGATCTTTGAAATGTTGTTTGAATTGATGCAATAGAATTAACATTAATATATTATATTCTTGAGTGTTGCAAATGTTAGCTAGGACCTAGAATGGAAAGGAAATGAGTAATCAATATATATATATATATATATGCTCTTCACAATCTTTGTATTTGCACAAAAGATTGGTTAACAAACTTTGTCAGCCATGTTGAAATCTGCTTTCCCCCTGAATTTTGGTTGAAATATTCTGACTTCTTGCCAGTCATATCCTGTGCAGATTCCAGAATTACTGGAGAATATTAAAACGAAGAAATTTGTTTTAATCCATGGAGAAGGTTTTGGAGCATGGTGTTGGTACAAGACTGTTGCCTTTCTAGAAGAAGCTGGACTGCTTCCTGTTGCTTTAGATCTTACAGGTTCTGGAATTGATCTCACAGACACAAACAGCGTCACTACATTGGCAGAGTATTCAAAACCTTTAATTAATTATCTTGAAAACCTTCCTGAGGATGAAAAGGTTTGGATGCGTGAGATTGAATATATATCTGACTTGAAACATGTCATTTTCCTGCATTCTGTTATATTTCATGAAAATGGAAATTTTGCAGGTTGTTCTTGTTGGTCATAGCATTGGTGGTGCTTGCGTTTCTTATGCATTGGAACATTATCCTCAAAAGATCTCGAAAGCAATTTTCCTTTGTGCTACAATGGTGACTAATGGCCAAAGACCTTTTGATGTTTTTGCTGATGAGGTATCCAGTTAGTTTCTTCATTTATTTATGTCAATAGTTGAATTTTTGCGAGTTCATATATGGTGAATAAATCCTCAAATCAAACTTAAATTAATAATAACACATGCTAAAGCAATTTGAAGTGACATGCTTAAATTGATTGGTGTGGTTTCTTCATCTATTATCACAAGTTTACTATAACGTGAATATTTGAATTTCAATAACTCAGATTCTATGGTTATAATTTGAAGTCTTAGCCAATTTTCCATTGAATCTTTTATTGCTCTAATGTGCTGCTCAGCCAACTTGATTTTCCATGATTTTTCTGTCTTCTTAAATAATGTTTCCTTAGCAAAAAATTACTTCATCGTAAGAATTAAAAACCTTGGAAAAAGTAAATATTTTGGCTCTTGTAAAAGCAAGAAAAATAAAAAAGCTGTTTTGAGAAAGGTGAAAATTTCAACAGTTCTGAGAAATAAAAAGCACATTCAAATGTTCTGTTAATTAGAGTGATACTGGAATGTTTTCTTCCGTTAGACACTCAAAGTAAACATTATAGCAGCCAAAGTAAAAGTTCTTTATGATGTATTTTCCTTTCAGAATGAACATTTTTTTATTTAAACATTTTTTATTTTTAAATTTCTTGTTTTGCATGTTGCTTGGAAGATCTCATAATTGTTCTCACAAATTATCTACACTGCAGCTTGGATCTGCTGAACGTTTTATGCAAGAATCAAAGTTTTTGATCCATGGAAATGGTCAAGAAAAGCCCCCGACAGGATTTATGTTTGAGAAAGAGCAGATGAAAGGGTTATATTTTAACCTGTCCCCAGCAAAGGTATGCTGGATTTAAGTCTATTTCTATCTTTCTTCCTCCTAGGTTTTTTAGCTGCTATATCTTGACTGTCCATTTAAATTAGCTACTTAAAGCTGTACACCTCGTGACAAATAGTAAAATTTTGGAACTAAAAAACTTTTTCATTACTTTTTTCCCTCCTTTCATTCTCTTTCTCTTATTTTTCAGAAGTGGTTGAGTGGAGAAAGAAAGAAAAAAAACAGATAAAACTTATTGCACAATGAATAATTTCAAATATTAAAAGACACAAAGATAAATATTAATTGGCTTCATCTAAATGTATTACTGTGCTGATAAGTACATGCTTAAAAGCTTTAACATATGGGAAAAAGATAACGGGGAAGGAGATTATGATTAATATTAAATTCAATTAACTAGAGGAGCTATTTTGTACTCTCAATTTTTTGGTTCAAGGGTAATTTCTTGTAGTGGTGTAGTGATTCACAAGATCTGTAATTGTGTTAATAGTGGAAAGGTGTGTACATCTCTTTTGGTTGGAGAACGTATTACCATTGTTCAAGCTTGTTTGTTTAGCTTTCCATATTACCATTCCCTATTTTGAATTCCAGACACAGTGGCTGAGAGGATTGAGAAGATTAAGGGTTGTCTTTTGGTATGAGATGGGGGAGAGGAGTACAGACCACCTTGTTAGTTTTTTGCCCAAAAAAGAAGTAGATTTGGGACTTACAAATTTGTTTCCTGTTTTTCACAAAAAGAAAAGAAAAGAAAGAAAGATAAAAACTTGTTTGGCCCTTGGTTTTGATTTGTGTTTATAAATCAATAAAGTGTAGTTTTTTTATAAAAAAAACTGAAACAACCGAGATGTTATCTTAACTCTTGATCATGATTTTCCAAAAGGCAAATTGGGTATTTAAAAGATTGACATTGAATGACCAATTTGATGTTGAAAATTGTCATGGAAGGACTGTTTTGATATATTTAGTATAATAGGGGTAAAGTAATAACAGTTGTATATTTGGAAAACCAAAATAGGTGTTTACCTTTTCTTTTTTTAATATAATGTTTTATCTAGTCTTGACTTATAGCTCCTCCTTCATGTCATTCACTTGAAAAAGGTAATGAAATATATTATTAAATTGTATCTAAAATGTACAAAGGTTTCTCTATTTAAAGAGAATACATGACCTAATGGGCTAAGCCCAAGAGAGATTCTAGAATACAACAAATAAATAATTATTATTATTTACAACACTCTCCCTCAAGCTGAGGAATAGATATTTATCATTCCCAGCTTGCTAGTAAGCTCTTGAAATCTATCTGAAGGAAGTCCCTTTGTCAATACATCAGCTAATTGACGCCCAGTGGGAATGTATGGAGTGGTAATCAAAGCGTTATCAAGCTTCTCTTTGATGAAATGGCGGTCGACCTCAATATGTTTAGTCCGATCATGTTGAACTGAATTATGAACTATACAAATAGCAGACTTATTATCACATAGCAGCTTCATAGGTCCCTCACATTTTATTTTGAGATCATCAAGTACAATTTTCAACCACAACAACTCATAAATGCCTTGAGCCATAGCTCGAAATTCAGCCTCTGCACTTGATCTGGCAACTACATCTTGTTTCTTACTTCTCCACGTCACTAAATTATCACAAAGAAACATACAATAACCAGTGGTAGAACGACGGTCAGTCACAGATCCAGCATAATCAGCATCAGTGTAAACTTTTAAAGAGAGATTGCTATCACGCCGGAATAACAGTCCTTTACCAGGAGTGGCTTTAAGATACTGAAGAATTTTCTCCACTGCCTGCATGTGTTTGTCCTTGGGATCGTGCATAAACTGACTGACAATACTAACAGCATAAGCTAAGTCTGGTCTAGTATGAGCCAGATATATCAGTTTCCCAACTAGCCTTTGATATTGTCCTTTATCAACTGGAGGACTCTCCTCTTCATAACCTATCTTGTGATTCTGCTCAATAGGAGTATTAGAGGGTTTACACCCAAGCTTTCCTGCTTCTTTGAGAAGATCAAGAATATATTTCCTCTGGCTGATAAAAATTCCTTTCTTTGAATGACTTAGGAAATATCGCAGTTTCCCAAGGTCTTTAACTTCAAACTTAGAGGCTAGTCGTGTTTGCAGAATATGTCTTTCCACAAAATCATCACATATTATAATAATATCATCAACATATACAAGGAGCACAATGAGCTTCTCATCTTGGGAGTGCTTAAAGAAAAGAGTGTGATCTCCTTGACTCTGTTTGTATCTTAAGGTCATCATAACCTTAGTAAACCTCCCAAACCAGGCACGAGGTGACTGCTTCAATGCATACAAGGCTTTTCTTAATCTACAAACTTTATTTTCTCCGTCCACAGAATCAAAACCAGGCGGGATTTTCATGTAGACTTCTTCTAACTCACTATTAAGGAAAGCATTCTTCACATCAAATTGATTTATATACCAATTGTAATGGGCAGCAAGGCATAACAAGACTCTCACGATATTCATCTTTGCAACTGGAGCAAAGGTTTCTTCATAATCAATGTCATAGGTCTAAGTGTAACCCTTGGCGACTAACCGAGCCTTATATCTCTCAAGAGTGCTATCATAATTATACTTTAGGGCATAAACCCATCTGCACCCTACTGCTTTCTTTCCATTGGGTCTATCAATAACCTCCTATGTTTTATTTTTCTCCAACGCATTCATCTCCTCTTGCATGGCTTGAGCCCAATTCTTATTTTTCAATGCTTCATGTACTGATTTTGGGATTGAAATAGAATCTAGTGCTGAAACAAAGCTTTTGTGCTGCACAGATAGATTAGTAGAAGAAACAAAATGGGAGATAGGGTACTGAGTACAAGAGGAACAAGATTGTTTTGAACAAGATCTTCTCCCTTTTCTTAGGGCAATAGGTAAGTCATCAGAAGCTGAAGCAATGGGTAAGTCATTAGAAGTATCAGAAGAAATAGGCAAATCATGAGAGGCAATAATATTAGAATCAGAAACAGGAGACTTAGGACTTACCAGTGGTTCAGACGATTGAGGTTGCTGGTGAGACAGTATGGGTTGTTTCCTCCTCTGATATACCAGTTTAGGTGTCAAAAACTTTCGTATCTCAGGTGTATTTGAAGGTTCTGACACACCAGGAGCAGACACACTAGGAAGAGGTGTAGGAGTAGACAAGGACGATCCAGACTCAAAGAAGGAAGGGGATGAGTCTTCTGAAGAACTGTTCTCCCCCTGAAGATGAAGACCCAAGAAATAAGACTCAGATTCTTGAAAGGTGACATCCATAGAAACAAAATTTTTTCGACTTGGTGGATAATAACACTTGTACCCTTTTTTATCAGGGGCATAACCAAGGAAGACACACTTAAGAGCCCTAGGATCCAACTTATTGCGATGTTGTTTATGAATAAGGACAAAGGCAACACATCCAAACACTTTTGGTGGAAGGCTCTGCAAAATGGGAACAGAAGAAAATAAGAAGTCATGGAATGAATAGTATTGTTAAGGATCCGTGAAGGTAAGCGATTGATCAAAAAGGCTGCAGCTAACATGGCTTCTCCCCAATAAGAACTAGGAACAGATGTCTGGAAGAGTAGTGCTCTAGCAACTTCAAGGAGGTGACGATTTTTTCTTTCAGCAACCCCGTTTTGTTGAGGGGTATCAACACATGTGAGCTCATGAACCATACCTCTGTCTGAAATGAATTGCGACAGGCATTGGTTGACGTACTCAGTACCATTATCAGATCTTAGTCTTTTAATACACTTACCAAACTGAGTCTCAATCATGTGATGAAATCGAATAAATATCTCTGGTACTTCAGACTTGTCTTTCATCAAGAATATCCATGTTACCCGAGTACAATTGTCAATAAAAGAAACAAACCACCTTGCACCTGAAACACTATGCACTTTAGAAGGGTCCCAAACATCAGAATGGATAAGAGAAAAAGGTTCGCTGCTTTTGATAGTGCTAGAAGGTAATGACACTCGATGGTGTTTTGCAAATTCACAAACATCGCAATGGAAGGACTCAACTGACTGATTTAGAAACAAAGAAGGAAACATTGACTTCAATAGACTGAATGGTGGATGCCACAGACGCTTGTGATGGAGCCAAATCATAGACTCTGTAGTAGAAGGATGACGTGTCATTAATAACTGATTTTTGCTATCATTTATAGCATGTTCTGGAAGGAGATAATACAACCCATCCTGCTCATTAGCAACTCCAATTGTCTTCTTTGAGGTAAGATCCTGAATAACACAATGAGAAGGGAAAAATGTGATAGAACAATTCAAATCAGTTGTAAGTTTTTGAGTGGAGATAAGATTAGTAGAAAGCTGAGGAACATAAAGAACATTTTTAAGAAACAAGGAAGGTTGAATTTGAATGTTACCAGAACCAATAACTGATTTATGGGATCCATCAACTACGGATATAGTATGACTACCAACAATAGGATGATAAGAAAGAAAAGACTCAGGTCGACAAGTCATATGATCAGTTGCACCAAAATCCAAAATCCATAAGGTTTTAAAATCAGTGCAAGAAACAAGAAGAGATGTAGAATGTGTGTTCTTACCTGACAAGATCAAAGAACGGTCAGATGGCTTACACATATTATCAATAGCGGGTTTAAGCTGATTCAACTCCTTTTGCTAAATATTCAAATATGAAGAGACATGTGGAGGCTGCGTGATAATCGAACCATCTTCTAAATCGGCCATAGTGATAAGAAAGAGTGAAAAACAGTACCAAAAACACACAACGTACACCCAAACGACGTCAGATCAGAGAGAAAATCATAGATCCAGGTAGAGGAAGAAAACACAGATCTGGAAAGAGGAGACAAAACCAAGTAGGAAAAGTTTTTTTTTTTGTAAACAGTACCCGATGAACAGTATCGCGTTTTTTTTTTTTTTTGAGCTGTTCCGGTCGTCTGATGAAAAAGAAACCTCCGTAGAATGATAGATCTAAGAAAACAGAGTGAAACAGGGGTCCTCACGGTCCAAAAGGTCCCCGGAAATTTTTTTCCCGCGGCGAAAGGCAAATAGGGTTTGGTTTTTTAAAGACGGTGATTTGTGGAAGCAGAGTCCTCAGAATCGAGAGCTCTGATACCAACTTGAAAAAGGTAATGTAATATATTATTGTCTTTTATCTCCTTTAGCAATTGTTGTTTTCTTGTCACTCCTCTTGCAAGTTCCATATGATAGGAGATTTAAAACGAGTACAATTGAGCAACTGGATGACTTTAGCCCCTTCTTGCTGGTCAATCTAGTACTGTAAGGGCCAAAGCTCGACTTTCTTCCACCGCCCAGAGGGGCTTTGGAAAACAATTTTTTAATTGTTGATCCGTGAGCTCTGCATGAGGAAGATAATGCCCTTAGAACTCAAATATAGCTGGCCGGGGCCCGTTTGGTATGCGGGATTCATGGAGATTCTCGGGAAACTGAATTTTTTTAAATTTTTAATTTTCAGATATTATCGTAAACTGAATGTAAAAATCATATTTTTTAAAATTGAGATTCCCGGACAAATTTTTTTTTCTCTTGTACCAAGTTTAAGGAGCAAAACCCCTTCTGCCTCTAAAGCTTGAGTGTTGTGGGTTTGTTTTTTATTCCCCTTTCCAAATGCTTTAGGAAGGTTTTTTTTTTTTCACTTTTTTTTCTTTTCTTTAAGAAAGACATGCTTCTTGATCAAATATTCCAAACAAATTCTTAATTTTTTTTGAAAGTTGTTTCCATAACAGTTTTGCAAAACAAGTTCATAAAGCAGATTATACAAAAACAGAAGTTAGTCATGTGAATCCTTGGAAGTTTATCTGTTAAGGGTGTGCGCTTCTTTGTGCTTGGGTGATGGTTCTTGGATCTGAATTTTGGTGGATGTATAGATGGGAACTGTTCCTTTTTCAGAGATCTTTCTTTCCTTTATAATTTGTTTTGTTTTCATGAGTCACCCATCCAAAGCATTTATTGTATTCAGGATTCGAATATTTATTGGGATTTTCACTTGATGAGACCTGAATGATAGGGAGAGCATTGAGATTCAATCCCTTTTGCTTTACTTGATTCTTACTTTTATTCCTTTATCAAGATAGTAGAATTTGGTCTATTAACTGTGCTGGTATCTTTTCTTATGATTCCTATTTTTATATTTCTTACTCATTTTTTTAATAGGGAGAGTATTCTTCTCGAGACCCATTTGGAATCTAAGATTCCCTCTAAGGTCAAGTCTTTTGTATGAACAACAGTACTCAATAGGATTAATACCAATGACTTGCTACAAATTTGTGAGCCCTACTCAGCAGTTTTCCCTGACATTTCTGTTATTTTCAGCTCAAGTTCAGAAACAGTAGCCCATCTATTTCTACATTTTAAGCCAGCTACTTTCCTTTTAATATTTTGTTTGGTGTGCTGGATGAATCTTGGGTGTCACTTTGGTGCAGTATCTCTTGGTTTGCTTCAAGATTTTGGAAGAAACAAGGAGACTAATATTTTGTGGCAGTGTGCATGTTTGCCGTCCTGTGTTATTTTTGGTTAGAGCGAAATTAGGGGTGTCAATTCATGTTGACACGACACAAATATATTAATACGAACACGACACATTTTTATTCGTGTCAAAACCTTCAATACATGCACGACCCACAAATTTTGCTGGTTAACACAACACAATAGGAACAACATGCAAATTGAAATTTGTGTTCTTGACACCGACATGACAGGGGTGACACGGCATGACGCGACACGACATGAATCGGTCAAAATAGTAAATAGTTAAAAAATACGGGCAAATGCGGGTTTGCGTGTTGACATGCGACATGATACGAATTTTTGCATGTCATATTTTGCCAACACGAACATGTCACAAATTTAAATAAGGGTCAATTCGGATATGAATTTTCGTATCATATTCGTGTTGTGTCAAGAATTGACACCCCCTAAACGAAATGCCTGCATTTTTAAGTCTCTCTCTTTGCCCCTAGTTTTATTTCCGGATAGTGTTGTGTTTATGGCTTCTTTCAAGGGAGTTACCATTACTGATATGCAATGCAGGACTGAACAGCCTTGTCGCACTCTTGATTAAACCTTGTTTGCATCTCTTTCCTTTTTTTTTTTTTTTTGTCTTCTTTCTCTTATCCTCCCCCTAGTCATACTTGATTTCTCTAAAGATCTTCCACTGTCTTTGAATGCTGTCTAAAGCAATGGATTTTTTTTTGCCCAAATACGAGCATGATTGACCAAGAGGGTTGTATCCCCGCAACAGTGTAACCTACCCATTTGGATGAGTTTTTTTTCAGTCAAAAGTTATTTTTTTTTTCAAAAAAAAGAACTTTTGTTGTAAAGTGCATTTGGATGACTGTTTTTAAAAAAGCAGAAGTCATAAAAAAAGTCAAAAATCTGCTTTTTCCAGAAGCTAAAAATTTTAGCTTCTCAAAAAAGCAAAAGTCAAAAGCCAAATTTTTTTAAAAAAAAAATATATTTTTTTAAAAATCTAAATAGTTTTAACTTTTATAAAAAACACTTTTAAAATAAGCAGGGCATAAAAGTAACTTTTTTTAAAAGTTAATCCAAACACACTTAGAAGGAGCAGAACTGTTGAATTTGTGGGTTCCTAATAGTTTCTCGTTTTACTAAGCCTAGTCTTTTTCAAGTACGGTTGAAGTTGTTCATATATATTCATTGTTTTATTTTCTTAAGTATTGTTATGTTAAGGTGGACTTTTTTTTTCTTTGATATCCAAGTATGTGAATGTGTTTAAGAGTGCGAGCCTGAAATAGTGATAAAACTATTTCTTTATGACTGAAAGGTCACGAGTTCGAATTCGAGAAACAATCTCTTTGCAAATATGTAAGGGTAAGGCTACGTATAAGTATTGCTTTCGTCCCTACCCTCGCTAGTTGGGGTTTAATGGGGAGTGATTTTCATCCAAGATATGTGTTTATTTTATTCTTTTTTTGTTTTTATGGATTAATCATCTGACATTACCCAAGACAATCATCTAGTATGTTTCTAGTTTCTTAATGTCCTTGTGCTGGAAAATGGGTTTGTAAACATTACATGTTACTAGTATATGACCTGAAACATTTGCAATCCTCATCTTTCATGTTCCATGTTTCCTCTAAAGGTTGGGGTCATAACTGTGCTCAAATTAAAAAAACTATTATACCATCTTCATTTATTATATTTCTAACTGTATATTGTAAATTGTGTCCTAATTGAAGGAAGATGAAAACCATCTTCATTTTTGTTGTATTAACATTTTTCGCCGGGAAATTTGCGCATGGCTTATAGCAACTCGGACTAGTTTTTCAATTTACCATGAATGTTCTCATGAGTATTTATAGATTCTACTAATATATGCATCTGATAAAATTTGAAATGAGGTGTATTTCAGGATATTGCTTTAGCCATGGTTTCCATGAGACATAGCCCTCTTGGTCCTATCATGGAGAAGCTATCTTTATCTGCTGAAAAATATGGTACTGGTCGCCGGTTTTACATTCAAACACTTGATGATCATGCACTTTCACCAGATGTCCAAGAGAAGCTAGTGAGGGAAAACCCACCTGAAGGTGTTTTCAAAATCAAAGGCAGTGACCACTGTCCATTCTTCTCCAAGCCACAATCTCTCCACAAAATTTTGGTGGAAATAGCTCAAATTGCATAGCTTAATGGTCAACATGATTTCTTTTATCTTTCCATCCCCTTAAGATTACAAAATGAAAAAGAGTTGATATGGCTTTGCATTATTGACCATCATACAGGTAGGCCCAATTGGGAGAAGTATCTTATTTTTTATAATTATGGAATATAATAGAGAAAGGAACATGATTTCATTGCCTTTAAGACAACAGTATTATAGTAAGTAGTAAATGACTTCTGTAAGCCTCGGTTATTATTATTATTTTTCTCTCTCTCCATGTGTATAGTTATATTAACTTTTCACTTTACATTTTGGCTTTGATTGATGTTTTTTATGTCGTAGAATATAAAATTATTTCTTACATACATAAAAGTATATGGGGCTCAAGTGAGGTCATGTGAAAAGAAGAGAAAGAAAGAAAAAATATAGATTTCATATATTTTTATGTATGACAACATGAGAGATATTAAATCATTGTTTCATAGAGTAAAAAGTGCATGAACATTTGCTGACGTTCAATAAAACCAAAGGGGGCTTCTTTTTGTTTTTTTTTTTTTAATTTCAATATTATATTTGAAGGGTGTTCTTTAAACTTTATAATCAATTAGACTTTTAGGGGGTGTTTGGTTCAAGTTTTTGGAGAGGATTACCGGTAATCCTTCTTTGGTAAATGTAATTACCACGTTTGGTAGAAGGAATAAATTACGATTCCCGGATATCCAAGGATTACCGGTAATTTGATTTATAAAGAAAAGTCACTATTCAGATTACCAAAAATAATATGGTAATTCGGAATACCAATCAGAATACCAAGTAAAGGGAAAACACAACAATAAATTTTGAGACAAAAATACCCCAATACACATAAAAATCTAGACCAAATCTATCAATTACAAAAGTAAAAAAAGTTTGGGGTTATTTTTGTAAAATAAGCTCATATTCCAAGTCATATTTCGTTCTAAACCAAATATGGAATCAGTAATTTTTACCCAGTATTCCCGGTAATATTTTGGCTAACCAAACACATCTTTTGTAAGATTACAAGTAAACTCAATTTCTACTGAATTCCCATTAATCATGATTCCCGATCACCAAAAAATTTCTCCTGTACCAAACACACCCTTAGGGTATTTTTAGATTTTAAGGGAAGGGGGTTTTGGTTGGAGGGAAAAAAGGGGAGGGCTAGTTTTTCATCGTGAGTAAATATTTTTATTATTTGAAATTCTTAAATAGATGGTATATTATTATTGAATATTTAAATATTTTTTATTTATTTTTAAAAATATTTTATAACTTAATTTAAAAATGAAAGTTTGACTACCTTTTTCTTGTTTTTCTTAAAATTCTTGCGTCCAAGCATATAATCTAATTAATCTATTAACACAAGGTGAGTAAATTATGCATCCTATATGTGCTTGCGAAATTATTTTAAAATTCTATAATCATGTACTGAAGTTATTGTAAAAAAATAGAAGTTAATTTATTTTTTTAGTACTTATAATTGAATATCAATGAATTTTTTTTGTCCAAAAATAATCTATTAAAATCATTTGAAATCTCAATCCAACACACATTCCTAAGAATTTTTGTACCAAATATGGAAAACTAGGATTTTCAATATCAATTTTCTCATAATTTAAAATTTATCCTTCTACCAAAAAGCCTCAAAAAAAAAAAAAATTGAGTAGAGAAAAAGAATATTCGAATGTTTGACTATTCGAACGAGGAATGAAGAAAAGTCGCTGGTCTACCCCGGGAAAATAAAAAGTCTTATTTGAATATAATATGACTAAAAGCTTTAGGCGGCGTTTGGTTGAGGAAATTTTTTTGGAATAGTAGAGAAATGAGATAGATAGAGAAATGATTGGAAAGATACATAAAGTGAGATAGGTAGAAAAATGTAAAAAAAAGTTGTTTGGTGGGGAAAAACTTTACTGGGAAAATTAGGTAACTTTATGAAATCAACAGTGCATTAAAAGCCACATAATCGGTTTTCCGAAAAATTCCACCTTCAAATTGGGTTTCTAAACAGTGCGGATATCTATGTTTCTCATAAATCCAGACAAATTAGATAGATGGATTTTTGGTAAAAAACGTTGAAACAAACATGGTGTTTCTAAAAGCCATACTTGAGAAAGATAGATATCTCCTAAAAAGCTCCCAACCAAACACCACATAATTGACTTATTAGTCCCCAGAGGCTATTCTAGAAGGCCTATTCTCATTTCTACATAATATAAACGGGCAAGAAATTGATCTAATTGATTAATAACCTACAACATTAATCTTTATTTAAATCAGAAGTTAGTGGCTACTATTTGATTAAAGCTGTACGGTAGTAATTAATGTTCTGAAAAGATACTTAACAATCTAGCTGATAATCCATTATAAATTCTCATCAATCTATTAACATCCCGCCAATGTGTTCTTTAACAGTCACCAAGTTTTAAGACACTCCTATTACACAGCAACCTTACATTGCTTGAAGATAAAAAAAAAAAAATGCCAAAACGAAAGAAAGCATCCCATTAAAGCAATAAACAGTAAAAAAAGTTAAGTAGCTATTACTAGTTCAAGAACGTCAAACGTCACACCTAGATCAAGTTCTTCAAGGCCAACGTGGAATTAGCATAATCAACTGCACGAAACGCTGTAACTTTAAGCAAAACCGGGTTCCTCTTGATCAACTCAAACACAAGAATCTCCTTCGGACAGATTGTTCTCCCTTGCAAATTTAACCATCCCCTCTCAATTCGGTCGTTGTCCCATTACTATGGTGCTCAATTAGGACATGCGTTGTCAATCATTTTATTAATGGTGATTTCATAAAATATATATATTTTTTCAAAAGCCAGATTGGCCACGCATAATAAAAATTAAAATACGGTTACCGTGTAATATCATAATTAAATATGCTGAGAGTTTTCATTTTATTTTCTCTCCGTAGAAAATTCCTCTTTTCTTCTTGTAATTTTTCTATTTCTCTTTAGTAGTTTCTTTTTCTATTAAGAAAACAAAGATATTTCTCATTTATTAAATGTGTAAAGAATCAATTCAACTCAAAAACTAAAGTTGATTGGTGAAGTCACATTAATGATTTTATATATTTGTAACACACTCACACGAAAGCCAATTGAATTTGAATAGTGAATAATGGATGTTTCAAACCCAACCTAATTGTGCTAAAAATTTTCACAAGAAAAAGTGAGAAACATTAAGAATCAAATCCATAACAACTAGACTCTGATATCAAATAAAGAACTAATTCAACCTAAAAGTTTAAGTTTTTAAGTGAGGTTACATTAATGATTTTATATATCTCTAACAGAATAACTGAAAATAAGTGAGGGGTAAGGAACAGGAGATGATTGATTCTGGCGTACCAAAGACATGTTAATATCCTTACAATAACAAGTAGATCATGTGCACGCTAAAATCAAGTATAAGCCTTGAATACAAAGTGCTACTCAGCTACATATCCACTGGACGGGACAAAATGCTTCACTCCCCAACATACTATCCCATGATATGTACCAAGTACTTTACAGTTACATCCCAAACACAAAACATTACCCAAAACTGAAATATTCAACAATTTAAGGAGACACGAACCATACAAGGGAAACCCACCAACATGGTTATCAATGCCAATCTGTTTTCAGTAGATAATCATGTCAACAAGGTCTGTAACTTTGCATTCCCTTCATTGTGCAGGCTCCGCCAGGCACCAACTGGATCATCTTTCTGTAAAAATCGACATGTTAAATTGATTCCAAGCCAACGAAATTTCATAAAAAAAGAATGAAACCCACATTCAAGTAGTCTTTTAAAAAAAAAATAGAACTTGCACATACTTTACAAGTCGCTCAGCCTCAGGTTGACCTGTATTAGTTGTGGATGATGTCCTAAACGGAGACCGTAGCTCAACATAGCAGGAATTATCCCGTCAAAACTTCGAGGAATTATAGCCCTGAGTGAGTGTCCATTAACTGTTTATAACATTACAAAGTCAATTGCAATATTCGATGTAAACAATCCTCTTAAACCATTAGATGAATTTGCATACTAAATAAAGGTAAAGCAACACCTTTTGTGATTACTCAAGCACATTTGTTAAACAATAAAAGCACAGGATTAAAACTTCAAGCAACAAAACCCTTTGTCAAATGTATAGTATGGATATAATAACAACTCATAACTACAATACACCAGATATCACTAATCAAGGATCAAATTGAATGATGGTAAAAAATGTAGTAAAACAACCACTCTACCAAGCAATAGATTGTAACCAACACAGCATTACATCAAATAATCCAGTCACTAGAAGCAAGAAAATTCTTGCATAAACTTGGAGCAGTTAAGTTGGGTGCACTAAGTTAATAAATTTAGAAAACTAGCAAAGAAACATTAAAAATTAAGATAGCCTATCCCCTGCATCAGATAGTGCTTAGACAGCCATGAGGGAGGAAAACACAAGGTATGCAGATACCCTGATCATTAGGATTTCTACAGCTTAATTCAATAAACCACCCAGACTTTTTAAGGAAAGGAAGTCTTTTGGACGCTAGAACACTGAAGATTGTATCTCAACTACATGATAATTCTAATTCTTTACAAACTGCTAGCAGCTATCTGGCTTGAAATAACATATTCCCCCATCAGAGTACCCCAAAACTTGAAGCGATGGGTTAATGATAAAGTTAGCACCCTTGCAGAGATTTCATTATTTCTACTTACTGACATCTATAAAGCATGTGTTTCTTTACTTGATTTACCAATATCTCCTTCATCTCCCCCCCCCCCCCCCCCCCCCCCCCCCCCTTATTTTTTTTTCTCTCTTTATCTCTGTCTCTTCCTTCAGTAAGTTCAAATTCAATGCAGAAGTGGCCAAAGATTGAATCCAACATCTCCCATCTTACTCAGAGAATGATAGAGTCAAAATTCATGGGCTCCTCTAACTATGGGCTTTCTCTTATGGGCAATTTCGTAGAGCGATAAGTTTTAAATTCCCAGGAAACTCACGTTGAGAATCCTAGCTACCCACGTTTAGTACAAGGATACTTAAAATTTTCCAGGAAAAATGAGATTCCTAGGGATTAAAATTGTGAATAAGAATCCCATGAAATACTATCATCAGGATGGAAATTTTTTACATATTTATAGGATATAAATAACACTGCTTTAATATTTTCATGACTAAAATATCCTCTCTTCCTTTTCACCACGCCTTTACTGGGTTTCTCTCTGCTTCGCTCCGGTGACCCCAACGCCATAATCGTCTGGTTCCGACATTGAATCAACAGCCACGATTCCGTGGTTGAGAACAATTTTGTGGTTGCTGCAAATGGTAATAGCTTGGTTGCTGAAGAGGATTTGTGGTTTCTCTGGTTTGAGAACGGTCAAATTTGTTTGGAAAATTTGGGTTTGATCTCCAACGTTGCGTTTTGACTCTTTTGTGGCATATCAGAATTTTTTTTCAAAAATTCATCAAAGATTAGTTTTGTAAAATCAGCCCGCATTCCCAGCAATCATTGACAATGAACCAAACTTAGAATCAGAAATTTGAGCCAACATTCCTGAGAATATTTTGGCTTACCAAACAACTTTTTAGTAACATTACTAGAAAATTCACTTTCTCAGTATATTCCCAGGAAAAAAAATTTCTCTACCAAATGCCCCCAAAGTTCCTTTGAAATATGTCATTTCTCCTAGAGTCTCCCCTTAACAGCTCTTATCATTCTCCGCCTATTTAAAAATGGCTATATCTTAACAATTAGGTCCCAGTAAAAGCAAAGTATAACCTGTCACAAAACTACAAGCAAGAAAAATAGAGAGAAAAGAGAGAAAGAGAACAAATCTGCAAAGCTTTATTGAATCTCAACACAAAAAGGACAAAATTGTCCTTCCAAGGGTTTGCCCTTTTACAACAGAACTAGTGCTTCCAATGCTAATAATTCAGAATGAATCTTCTACGACTCTCCTACTATTTAAGCTGGTTAACCAATTATGTAACTAACAACTTTAACGAACTCTAACTAATCCTATAACTACTCTAACTACTTCGCCTTATTTTCCTTTATTTGTCTGCCCTCCTATCATAACCGCAATAAAATTTAAATCTTACTTCAGAATGAGAATCCTTTACCTTTCAAAGCTTATCAACTTACGTGTAAAATAGCAAGAAGTTTCAAGACTTTGATGCCATAATAACCAAAAATTTAAGTAATCAACTCATAAAATGACTTTAGTGTTGTAAATAATAGTATTTTTTTATTTATTTTCATTCTAGAATCTTGTTTGGGCTTAGCCCATCAGGTTATTTAGTCTCTTTAAATAGAAAGCAATTGTACAGATGTAATACACAATTTTTATCAATAAGATTATCCTTTTTTTTTTCAACTTGGTATCAGAGCCTCGATGTACCGGGTTCGGTCCTCATCGCCCCCCACTTTCTTTCTAGTGGAATTTCTTTCTTCGCACAGGTAGGTGGGTTTGTGCATCGTCCACCCTTTAAGTCCAGTGGGCTCTCGTGTGAGGGAGCGTGTTGAGATATATAAAACCATTAATGTAGCATCACCCAACATGTAAAGAACCAATTCAACCCAAAAGCTTAAGCTATTGGGTGAGGCTACATTAATGGTTTTATATATCTCAACACGCCCCCTCACAGGAGAGCCCACTGGGCTTGAAGGGTGGACGATGCACAGGCCACCTACCTGTGTGAAGAAAGAAATTCCACTAGTAAGAAAGTGGGGACAGTGAGAATCGAACCCGGTACACCGAGGCTCTGATACCATGTAAAGAGTCAATTCAACCCAAAAGCTTAATGTAAAGAACCAATTCAACCCAAAAGCTTAAGCTATTGGGTGAGGCTACATTAATGGTTTTATATATCTCAACACACCCTCTCACACAAGAGCCCTTGGGCTTGAAGGGTGGACAATGCACAGGCCCACCTACCTGTGCGAAGAAAGAAATTTCACTAGAAAGAAAGTGGGGGACGGAGAGGATCGAACCCGGTACACCGAGGCTCTGATACCATGTAAAGAACCAATTCAACCCAAAAGCTTAAGCTATTGGGTGAGGCTACATTAATGGTTTTATATATCTCAACACTTAAGCTATTAGGTGAGGCTACATTAATGATTTTATATATCTCAACATTAAGACACTGTTTTGCATTCGCTTCTAAACACACAGGCACATTTACACAGAAGGACTCAAAAAGCTTTCAGTTTCATGTGAAATCATATTTCAAAGTTATCCCACTTCAGACTGTAATCTTTTGTCCCAGTTTTCAACACCAACTTTAGCGGCTCTGATTGCAAATTGTTAATTGCAAAGATTCACATGATTGTCTTAAGTTAAGAGGGTTAGGAGCAATAGATCAAGGTTTGTTAATATTAACAATCCATCCAGCCTTCACTTAGACTTAAACAGGTAAATAATTATATCCACTTTGATGTGATCGTTGTAGATAGCTTCTGACCAATTGTATTGCTTAAAACACTATAACCAATTAATGATAAACACAAACATACATAGTGTTCATATTCTACTGCAAGCAATTAATTATACATTTACAAACCATCATGAAATAGTAATTCAGTTCCATTATCCAAATTAGTGAACATGAAGAATTCAATAATATAATCACATAAAGGAAAACATTGGAAGACAATTTTGGGAATACAAAACACAGTATACTTGGAAATAAAATAGATCTAGAAAAATTCAACAATTGAAATTATGCCAAAGTGGAAGACAACCAGATGTTGGGTGATTAATACTGGGATAAGGAAAAATTGTTGATGGAGTCAAGCAAAGGCTGGAACCTACTAGTGTTATGAGTATGGTGTAACTTCCACCACCAAGGTCTTTCCTTCCTTTTTCTCCTGCTTTTAATAAATTAGGATAAATGCAATAATTTACCATTGACAAACACCATATCTTCTACAACTATATCTTAATCAAAAGCTCAAAAGCACCACCAGGTTAAAGGGCAGGATAGGCAAATGGGAACCAAAATCACTTACCTATTTATAAATCAAAAGCTCAACAAACATGTCACAACTAACTACTAATTTCACTGAAGGTTTTCAAAGAGACCAATCTTTATTTCAGGACGAGTTACTTATTCCCCCATTGATAAAATAAGCTCTGAGTCTCAGTTTGAAGAGATAAAGAACAATAAAACTAGATGCAAATGAGTACGGACTTACAACAGATGTTTTAAGACCCTGAAGATGATTTCTGAACCCAAACTTGTTTCTGCAGACACAATAAGCACTTTACACTATGAATCAAGCAGAGGCATGACAAAATACATCAGCAAAAGACATGGATACCTCATGAGCACTATGCCCAGCAACTCCTTTCTTGGAAGGTTTCCCTTCACCCAAGCTGACTGCACCATCATCCTTCACCATATAGGACGCTCCTCTGCGAGTAAAATTTCTTTGAGAACCTAGAGAACTCAATAGGTTGGTCAAAACATATTTCTATTAGAGTCAAGATAAATACATTCTAATGTGTATATTATTAGTCTTTCATTTATTAGCCATAATCAGTAAAGAGACACCAACCATTCTCAACAAAGGGACTGCTATGTCCACCTGCAGAAGCTGAGGATTCCCCACTCCTGTTTCCCAAAGGAACATTTTCTCTTACTTCTCCTGCCGAGACAAGAAAAACAGCAGCAGACAATGGATTTTAATCACTAAGCTATATTTTGAAATCTCAGGGCAATGATTTCATAATATACATTGGAGAGAAATATATCTTCTATTTTGTTTGGAAACAACTCGTTGCCTAGTCAATGGCCATACCTCCAACTGACTCAGGATTTGAGAGAGTAGGCTGTGCCAATGAGGATGACAAGTTCTCAATACCAGCATGTGAAACATCAGAACGATGAAGGGGGGCCCAAACACCACGATCAGGTCTATCCTTGTTTCTTGTACGTTTTTCTGTTTTCTCAGCCATACTACCCAAACCATGCAGATCCCTTTTTACGAACTTTTCATCCAAAGCCCTTTTAGAATCCGCTACAGAATTAACTTGACCAGCATCATGATTAGAGACTACATCATTTAACCCAGACCTTGCACCGAAATGACGTGCTGTTCGTTTCCCATTCTCAGAACTTAAGATTTGAATCTTATGTTGTGTACCCGTTGTAGACTGACTTTGACGAGCTTCATTATTTAGAAGTATGTTCCTAATCAACCTTCCACCAGCTTCACGCCTCTGGTTATGTTTTCCAGTAGTTGAAACAGAAGAATTTCCAGATTGAACATTTTGCTGTTTTACCATACCCTCTGTGGCCTGAAAGTTCCCAAAAAAAAAGTTCATAATAACAAATTGACAGTAATGAGCTTAATCATGTTTGAGTGGGGATCTAAAAGTAAACTTGAGCAATCTAACCCATCCAAAATAACTTCAAGCCAGAAGACACACTCACACTACTTCTGACCAGAAAAAAAAAAAAAAAAACTCAGTCCACTCAAACACATACTAACTCAAACCTTGTATAGAGGGGGAGAAAAAAAAAAACATTTTTTTTCTTGTTTAATATGAAGAGAAAATTTTTACAAGGAAACAAGAGATGTTAATATGATTAATAAAAGCAGACAAAATAGAGATGAGCAAGATATTGTTGAAAGAAATGAAACCTTTATGGGTAAAACAAAACCTACATTGGGAATTTCCCGCTGTTTTCCTTTCAAAAGAAGGATTTTTTTCTTTCCTGAGTCAGAAGTCAGTGGGATTCCAGAAACGGGACCTTCAATGCCATGCACTGCATATTCATTAATCGCAAATAAAAAAAATAATTTATCAGCTGAAATAAATAAAATTTGGTTATAATATAATAGAGGAAAGTGAGGGAAAATGTCAGAAATGGAAAAGAGAGAGAAGAGAATTTAAAGAGGTTTCTGAATTCTTGTGTTATTCAAACTTAGTTACTCGAAACATGGAGTAACCTGATTATAGGATACAAAAAAGCTTTGCTCAACAAGCTTGGAGCAAGAGCAGTAAAATAAGACCAGCCACACCTGATCAAAGCTACTATAACAGAAAGCTAACAACCATAACAGTCTAATTAATTGAAAGTTTCCTAGTTCATTAAGCAGTTGAGTGGAAGGACAAAATTAAACCCCACCCCCAAAAAAATAAATAAAAAATCAGATTAGACAGCTCACAGCTCAAATGTGAGTGTTGAATTGGATTGTGACCATAGCATTAAACTTTTTGAATACTGAAAGAGCTTCTTACTTAAATCCCGTCAGCTTCACTTTACGCAACATCAAGAAATGTGGCAGAGACATATCTGAGTATCTCTTGCAAATTAAAGCCCTCGTGATTCTTTAATGGGGTAACTTTGAGTGCTTTAATTCGCAAGACATACTCAGATATGTCTCTGCCACCTTTCTTTATGTTGCGTAGCTCTGAGGGAAGTTGATGGAACTTAGCCTTCATCAAGGAGTCGAAGTGATTGTGAACCTTGTCTCATGCTTGCCATGAATGAACAACACCCAAAATCTTGTTGAGAATTTGTTGTGATAGGGAGAAAAGAATTTGTTCTGGTCTATTACTACCATTTAGTGATGCTGTACTGATTCTATAATTTCTATCAAGAACACGATCTATCAAAAGTTCAGGACCTTCTTTAGTGTCTCATAATGAGGGTTTCCCTTCAACAAAGGGTTTTAACAACTGAGCCCCTGTCCTGTTTTCCCAAACTAACAAATCTAAATCCCTCTATTTCTACCCTCCTACTATTTAAACTAAGCCCCTGCCGTTTGAACTATAATCACCTAATTAATTTTATATCTACTTCATAAGTAATTCTATAACTTCCTAACTTCCTGGTCCTATCAAAGCTGAACAAATATTTAAGGGGATCTCCTTGTCTTTTACAAGGGACTGAAACTTCACTATATAGGAAATCCATACTAGCTCCTTGATTTCAGAGGAAGCTCTCTGTACACACGAACAGAAAGTTACAGTGAAAGTAGATAATAAAACATTGGATTTGGAGATTTAGAATAACTATAGCAGAGGCATTCACAAGAAAAAGATATTCTAACAAAATCTAAAGGTAGAAAAGATGAATTACACGTTTCAATTTCAGAAAATCCTTTCACACTTGATGCAGCTGATTGATCCTCTCGCCGGGGGACGACAATAAAGGTTGACTTGTCTTTCGACTCTTTCCGATTGGCACCCTTGGCATTGTCCTTCTGAATATACTGACAATCAACACCAATTTTCATTTAAGTGACAACCCATTGTCTTTTTGCAAGCATAAATAGAACATCTATATCGACAATAGAAGTAAGACTACTCAGGCAAAAGCCAAAGACCAAAACTCTTCATTAGCTTGACGGAAAAAAAAAGGTCAAAATGCTGAGAAGATGATAATTTATTATATTGAAGTATTTCTGATTGATTTATAGTTGCACAAGAGGATTTATCCAAAAAAAAGCTTGAAAGTATAGCATTTCCAAATGCTACACACAGAGTACAGAATAAGAACCTTGATCCCAAGCAATATTCAACAAATGTTCCTATAGTTATATCAATCTGTGGGAAAACATCTAAATAGTGTCTAGGTTCATTGTATAGACTAACCAGAATCATGTAATTGAACTAATTAGGATAACCATGATATCTGTATTTATTACTTTTTCGTTATATAATCTAGCCTCCGTTGTGTAGTTTAGACACATAAATTTCACTAAATGTCTTTCGTTTCCTCCTTTCTTAACAAGGTATCTAGAGCCTAAGAAGAGGAAGAAGCCTGTTCCAACATGATAGCGCAACTAATTTCCTTCATTGATAACTATTATGGCTAGTTTGGTGGACAGGATAGGATAGGAATAGATAGGATAGGAGGGCTGGACAAGAATAGGATAGGATATAAGCCTTATAAGCTCATATCTCATCCTGTGTTTGATGTGCACAAGATAAGCAGTCTGATAGGATAATATTATCCTATCCAGTGTTTGAGGCGAACTATATAGTGTCATGATATTGTATTTATTGTATTAACAGAAAAGTTACAATATTTAAGACAATGCAGTCAAGACAGTCAAAATAAGTCAAGTGATTATGTGTCGGCACCAGCAATAATAATAGCATACATGCATTCATTTGAAAAGGTTTACCTTTTTCTTTTCAGAGCCTCGTTTAGTATTGGCTGCGCCTGGCTTGCCCGCCAAAGCAGCTCTGGCTCTTCTGCTAACTTTTACCACTGCCGATGATGCCTATCATTGATTATTAAAAACATAAGGCGTGCAGTATTATATGTCAACATATACCCAAGCAGGAAAAACCATCTTAACTTATATTTATTTGTGATTTAACAAATTACATAGATATAATACCAGAGTAATTTCACGCAGCAGGAGAGGAAGTCAAAAGCCATAATGATATAAAGGTATAATATAAATGAAAGATGCATATGATAAACTGCAAATTTTTTGAGGTAGTACATTTGCACAGTTTTTATACAATCAAAATTCATCACCCCTACTGAAGCCCAAAAATCTAGTGAACCTGCTAAGAAAAGGTTAAAAAAGTTATATGCTCAAATTCTACATGCCTTTTATAATATGCGCCAAACCTAGCTGTAGTACTTAACATGCATTGCTGTCTTTGAAATGTTAAAAATGCTCCATATATATCTTAAATTTTTGAGATATAATTGTTCTAAATCTTCAATTTTTAAGATTATGTTGATTTAAACCAAAACTCAAATACAGCAGCAGTACTCTAGTAAAAGCACATGAATTCCATACATGCAATATGAAGATTTCTCTTCAATCAAGTACAGGCATGCAAAAATGCAATATAACAATACTCACCACACATCTGACAGCCGACTTGGGATAAACACACAAAAAGAAGAAGATGAATACAAAGCCTTCTTTTTATCAATAAAGCTATAAGCTCGGAATGCATACCTGGAGAACCTAAACATGACACAAGAAAAAGGGAAAAAAAAAAAAACTGAAGACCTAGAACCATTACCTGCATACCACTGTCAACAGCACGTTTCTGACGAACATATTCCATCAGGGGTGTGACTATAAGTGTTTCCTTGTTAGCCCCTAGAAAGAGGAGATAACATGAGACACAATGATACAGAAATTTGTCCTCAGACAAATCCCCACGACACATTTATAACATATGGAAGAGGCAGATGAACACATTAATGTCAGGGGAAGAAGTGATCAAAAGTTCTTTCTAATGTTTATCAATCACTTTTAAATTAAGTGTAAATCAAATAAAGTTGGTGAACTAATAACTAACCAGCTTGCTCAGCTTCTTTTCTTTCCAATTGTATTTCTGCACTAGGAAGATTTTCAGGAGGTTTTGCAATGAGTTTGAGGAACTCAAGATAGTCTGGATCTGTCCCATTTTAAAAAAAAAAAATTATTATCAGAAATGAAAAGGGAACATGCTGTAAGCACATAGGTAGCATTAGAACATTTATACATTTAGCCATTGTAAATTACAATTTACATTGATACCTTTATATATAGTTCCTTCACGACCATCCTTTTTGGTACTTGGCTTTGGAACACGCTGAGAAGGTGCATACTCAACTATTGCTTTATGCTGGGCACCTGATTGAATATCAGGCATGAAGATTTTCCACAACATAAAAGCAATCAATATGAATAAATAATGAAAATTAAAAATAAAACAGAATATCAGCTCTAAGTTTGTATATGTAAGTCTATTAAATCAATTACGTCATGAAAACATTGAATTGAAGTTACAACTTACAGTACAATAAGCAACAAATCCTATAAAAAAAGCTAAACACTTATCTGGAAAACATTACTCAGGTCTAAACAATTTTAAGGCTTTGTTCCTTTCCATATGGCATATGAATAAAAAAACATGTAGTGGGTGACAAATAAATTATATGTTGCTAATTACCTCTCTCGTTAACAAAAACATGTCCATCAAAGAACTCAGCAAACTCGAAAACATCATCAGGAGACTTGAAATCTATATATGCTCGCGAATACCTCTGATGCTTGTGACTGCAAATATTATTTCAACGGAAGAGAAGTCATACATAATATGCACAAACTGAAATTCTATGTATAAAATCTTCAGCTAACACTGTGCTAAGCAATACGGAACTAACTATTGTTAGGGTTTTGTTACAGATAAGAAAAATAAAATAAAAAAGTAACAATTAATTATATATCATAGATAATTTGTTACAGATAAGAAAACTAAAATAAAAAGTGGCAACTAATTATATCATAGATATTCATTCTATTTAAAAGTAACCATAAAACTATAAATTCAAGTTCATAACAAGTGTTATTTATAACTATATCATCTACGAGGCTTTTAAAAAGACGATTCAATCTTGATAACAAAAATAAAAAATAAAAAATGGTAACACCTGTTATTGCCGGGACGAAAAGAGAACCAATTGTAGCGAGAAGCGAAGTGGTTATCGATGTTTTGGATGAGATCAGATTGTGTGAGAGATGGAGGCAAATGCCTAATTACCACTTTCGTCCTTTCCTTTTCCAAACGCACCTTCATCTTCTTCCAATTCTCGATCACCAATTTTTTTCTATTCAACTGCAACACGCAATTTCCTTAATTTCTTTCTTTTCCTTCGCATTCGCTTTGTTATTTCGTTCGATACACTGGGCTCAAACTCAAACTTCTACGACCCGATACGCCCAATTCCCAAACGGATCATATCACTCTCGCTTTATATACTAGTTAAGTTTTTTTTTTTTTTAATACATATATACTAGTTAAGTTGAGATAGAATATTCTTACTACTAATTACTAAATAGTGTTATTACTAGTGTCATTATCAATTTATTTCACTGTAATATCGAATAACTGATTTAATTCTGATTTAACTTTCTAAAAATCTGGTTTCTTCTCTCTATATTTTATATTTATTTTCATTTTACATATTTAATGCATTAAATATGGGGAGTTATAAGTTATAACCATACAAAGATGAAAATAAATATAATTATTAGATCAACATAATCGATCTAACGGTAAAACAAACTGGTAGTGACATTGATAATAATACTAATTGGTAATAACAATATCCTATCTCAGTTAAATTATTTGTTATTTTTAATCTTTGTATTTTATATTAAATTATTTATCAAAAATAATTTTTTTATAAAATATCTAACTGGAATTAATAGTTATTTAAATTATTATAGTCCAATTTAGCTAATTATCATTTTAGGAATATGTTAATTAAGATTTAATATATTAATTAATGTTTGATGAAGAAGTATTTGAGATCCAATGAAAAACAAATTAGGAAATAACAAAAAATTAATAACGATGACATTTTTAAAAAAATAATTGAATGAATAGTAGCAGATGCAATTTTTTCAAAAAAATTATTTAATTCAGACACGCTGTATTTGAATAATAACTTCAAATAAAAAGGATACCAAAAACAAATAAAAAAAAAAACTTCAAATAAAAATTTTAAAGTTCATCTTTTATAGTATAATAAATATTTTGTATTTACGTGATATTCTCTCTTGACTAAGATTGCGGTATAAGGTTATTCTCGTCACCTTCCACCGATTTCCTATCCCAAATCTGTGTTACCAAAGCCAACCTTCCTATTACTTAGGCTAATAAAAGAAATGCTCTTAAAGCATGCTAAGATGAAAACAAAGTGTAATTTTCTTAAGTTATTTATCCAAAAAATTAAAACATAACCTATTTACTTTGGTTATATTTGTATTATATGATTTTTTTAAATTTGAAATATGTGGGTAAATAAGAGTAAAATTATAAAAATAAACTAAATAATTTTTTTAAAAAGTGCAATTAATAAAGTTTAGCAATTTCGAAAAAAATTAGAAAAAAAAACTCTGATTTTGTTGCACAAATAATCTTAAATAAAAAAAATGAAAAAATAATTTAAATATTTTTTTAAAATAATTAAAAAAAAGTAGTGGACCTAAATTTTTATATATTTAATTTATAAATTAATTGTTTTGAATATAAAGTCAAATAAAAGAAAATCAATATTTAAAACTTTTTGAACTTGATAACTCCTTAGTTAGTCATGAGTCTTCTTGGGTAGCTGTAGTCATGAGTCTTCTTTGAAACTTTATCATAATGTGTTGGTATGTTGATTTTTGTCACGAAGATTCTCATTCAGGATGTTTAACTTTAATTTGAACCTTGCTTGATTAGAGCTCAAAATTGCCTTAAAGAGAGATAAAAAAATGTGTTAGAGAGATATAATACAAAAATTATTAATGAACCTTCATTTAATAACTTAAATTTTTAGGTGAGATAGTTGTTTATAAAAAGAAACCCTAGTCTGATAGGTCATTAGCAAATACGTCATTAGCAAGACAAGAACAATTTTAACTCGACCAAAATTTTGATATCAAGGTTCTTCACCTTGTTAAACACCTTTTGAGGTGGTTACGTACATTGAAAACCTTTTCAAACACTTCATCAACACATTGATAGCTAGGTATGCAGCAAGTGCTTGTTGATTCTTCTTTACAACAAATTTTCCTTCACATTTGGCAACAATTAATGTACGTAACCTCATTTTGTGGTAGCGTATAACATTTCTCTACAATCTCCCAAGCATTTTGAAGATATAAGACTTTAATTTCATAAGATAATACCATTATTATAATTCTCTTTAGTAAGATAAATGAATTATATATAATTGAATTAAGCCATTGCTTACCATCTCTCAACTCTCTAGCGAAAAAGTGTTTTGGTCTCTAATCTAATATCGAGGCTGTACTTGATATACAAGGCTATGGTTTCTTATTTATTATTAGAATTAGGAGATTCTTAAGTTTTTATCCATAATTGTTGCTATATACACTACAGTAATTATTTAATGTCATCTAAATATAAAGTACTTAGATAAATGGAAGAATTTTCACATAGTACGAAAGTGGTTCATCATGCCATAATAGCTTAGTGACTTCATACATAGCCCACAATTGTTTAATTATTATTCCAACAACACACACCCATAATATCATACAATCATCACAACATAAATATCCATCATATATATTGAAAAAGAGAAATTTAGGACGTAATTGGTCACTTGGGCTAATGAGCATTAATCAAAAGAGTATTAATCATGCATTTAGCCACCAGCTAATCGGATATGTTGTCATATAGCGAATGCTATTATTATTGATCACCTGTGTCAACAAAGGAAGAAAGAATAGAAAAGAAGTGAGAAGTAAAATGTAGCAAAATTTCTATTCAAATAAAGCTTGCATTTGATTGTTAACTAACCTAATAAAAAAAATACTTTGTTATGATTATGAGGTAACAAAGTAATTAAAACAAAGTTCACAATTTTCAAATCAAGCATATTGTTGAAAATATGCAATGTAATGAAATGATAATCAGAATGATATTTATAAATAATGAAACGAAGATATCAAGTAAGTATATAATAAGAAGAGTAAACATCTTTTTTGGTCCCTAGCAATATCTACGAAATCTTTTTTAGTCCCTGGCAATAAAAAAGGACCAAATTGGTCCCTAAAATTATGAAAAAAGGGCCACGTTAGTCCTTATGTCAACTCCTCCGTCACTAACGTGGCCCTTTTTACATACTGTTAGGGACTAATTTGATCCTTTTTTATTGCCAGAGGCTAAAAAGGATTTCGTAGATATTGCCAGGGAGCAAAAATGGTGTTTACTCTAATAAGAAACATGCAGTGGTGGAGCGAGAAGAAAAGTTTAGCTAGTGTTAAAAGACCACCAAGTAAATTTCAGCCGTGCCAATATTGTATTATTTTTAAAAATTCAATCAATATTAAGGTTGTATTATAATTTTTGAAGAAAATCTATACCATTTTTAAAAATTAGTTGGTGGCTGACTTACAAGTGGCTCCGCCATTGGAACCATGGAAAAAAAATGAATATATTGAGATGCAAAATGACATACGAAAATAAAATTAAGAAAGTGAAACTAGAAATGACTTACCCAAGATGGAGAATCTTCTTATCTGGCTGAGGGTAGGCAGTTCCACCTTCCATCATGTTTGGATTGAAGAAATTACGGGAAGCTAATGCCTGGATGGCATTCAGTTCTTGTCCAGAAACCATGTTTACTTGCTGAATCCTCTCAACATCAGTTATCTGAAAATTTGGAAGTAGTAATTAAGAGCATTGTAATTAAAATAAAAAAATGCATCTATTGATTATTACCAAAAATGAAAAGAATAAAGAGAATGGATTAAAGGACGCAAAAAGTAAATTTTGTGCAAGCAAGCAAGAATATTAATCTCCAAAGGCATTTTTATTTTTATTTTTTTGTGAAATTGAGGTGCTACTATAGGCTATTCTCTTGGTCATATAAAATTGAAATCAAATAATACATTCCCCTTGAAACCCTGACTAGCAGGTGTAGGGAAGATGACAATCTTTATAAAAATTCACATCAAGGAGTTGTATATAATTTTTTGACAAGTATTAAAATTATACTAAAGCAATTCTTCCTATTTCAATTTCTACCGAGGAAATTTTGATTTATAATTTTTTTTGTGTAATTATAATTTTGATAGCATAAGTGACAAATTCTCACAATTTGGGTGTTGCCATATTAAACAAAACCTTAAAGCTGTTGATTCATACTTACCAAAATAATGAACATTGTTCATATTTTAAACGAAATTACTAAAAATAATACCCTATTTAGTTTGAGTATTAATTATACTTTAACTCAGGTTGTAGAAGAAAAGAAGTAATTTGCTATCAACATACCTTAGTCCGAAGGCAAAGATTTTCATTTTCCAGTTCAATTTCCTAGCCAGCCAATAAAGCAGGTTATCAGTTGCCAATAGATTAATTAACGATAATAACAAAGAATTTTGGTGGGAGAGAGAGAGAGAGATCAAATTAAGATAGCCACAGAATAACAATAAAGATGAAAGAAATGGAAAATAAAGCTAGAAGAATTAATTCAAGTTGTGAATTACCCTTTTCTGAAAGTATTCAATTTCTGCCAGTAGCATCTCATGCTGTTGCAGTTAGAAAGGCAAAAAAAGTAATAAGATGATTATTAGCAAATATGGGGTCAAAGATTTAATCATGTTATAATGATTTATTCTTAATTATATATAATCATATCTGAATGAGACATTTGAATATGATACATAATTATCACAGTGCATGATGCATGAAAGGAACTATTTTGCTAGAGTAAATTTCTCAATTAAAAGGTAGAATTAATTAGCTTTATTTTCAGAGATGCTAATGGATTTAATATTAATGTCACATTTAAGTAATGTAAATTAGCACATCAATCACATGATATTGCACTCTTACTTTCTTAGATCTGATTCTAGTTATTCCTCTTTCAAGTCTATTCTCCAACTGCTTAAGTTCCTTCACAGTCAGTGTGCTTAAGGCATCGCCCATCAGGTGCCTACAAAAGGCACTAGGGAGAAATAAATGACCAAGTTGCATCTTTGAAACTTAAAAGGTAAAAACAATCATCATATCATATATATCCATTACAATGTTTTGTTTAATTAGAAGCTTTAAGAGAAACAATGATAATAACAGATCACCTGTTAGAATTTTGCAGCATCTGTATTTGCTGTCGCAGCTTTGCAGATTCTTGTTGATAATACTGTCATTATTCATATATAGTTTTAAAATGATGCAGAAGAGAATACATGTATATGATAATTATACAGTAGATAGATTAACATAAATGTGCAACACACAATAAGCATAAAACTGAACCATATTCAAACTAGGTCCAAGTTAATATCTTGTAATTTTGTTAACCTGATTACATTTTATCACTAATTATAATTTGTTGAAGTTAGTGAATAATGATTTTGTTGAACCAAGATTTGAATTTTTAGTTTAACCTGTTTATAGCTAAATGAAATTATATATGGCCATTCATGTAGACAAATTACCTGAGCATTAATTTCAGTGGTAGTGCTCGTACTTGAATGATCTGAACATGCCTTTTTGTACCTCTCAATAGTTGACCTTATGCTGTAGCCATAAAGGAAAAAAAAAATACGAAGGAATCATTATGGTTACATATATTCTAATGTTATTTGTACATTGTTCACAATGTTATTTGTATACCACTTCAATTATAGTATTCTTATATATATCATTATTTCTTTTAATGAAATAAGAGAAATAAATTTTTCAAGTACATTCGTTTTCTTTCTTTATGTGGGACTAGGTCACAAGAGATTTGCATATATGTTAAAGGTTAAGGGTGTACACTAGATAAGCTAACACTTATTTAGCATATGAATTTTTTTAATATAAGTTAAGTTTATGGGTTTAACCTAATTAACCCATTCATGAGCAGGTCGAGTTGGTTGCCCGGTCTAAAAATACCCAAAAACAATATGCATATAAGTGTTAGCTAAAGTAACCAGAGTCTCTTGATGAACATAATATAAGTCTCAAACAAACATACACAAACCTTAAGATATAAAATAAATATGAAATAAACATACACAAGTCTCAAGAAAACATATCTAAGTCTTAAATTTGTAAGTTTTAAAAGTCATAACAAAAGCCCTACAATAAATAATAATAATAATAATAATAATAATAATAATAATAATAATAATTTTAAATTTTAAATTTTATAACAAGTGACAAGTAGTGGTAAACAATTTAGCTACCTTAAATAATTTTATATTTTAGAAAAGCATCGTTATGTTAATATAACATTTTAATATTAGAAGGATAAATAACAAAATCACCGAATAAAGCATGTAATAACCAAAGTAATTAAACTTATAATCGTGCATGCAATTCTTTGGAAGATGTATAAAAGCCCTACAAACCTAGGTGGCATGTCCTTCTACCAATGCATGTTTTCTTCACAATTTTAATTTAATAATTATAAATCAGGACCTTAACTTGTAACTATAACTGCTATAACATATAATCATTAAGTTCTATGATATCTTTCAACGGAATCTATGAATGTAAGCATGAACCATATACAAAGATTATCCACCAAGTCCTTATTTTATTTTTTATTTTTTGCACGTCTTATGGAAACTAGCTTTTTCTTTTCTTCCATTTAGAACTGAACCTGAGGCTAAGACTAAAAGGTAAAAGATATAGTAAGTGAAAGGATAAGAGAGATTTCCAATATAAGAGAAGAGAGAAATGTTTTCTTTTCACTAAAGAGGGCAAAGAAATTTGAGCAAGCAAAATTGGATTTCAGAGATGTTTGAACAAGAAATGAGATTGGCCAGAAGTGATTTATTGGCCAAGACTTTTATATGATCACTTTTTTCTCTATAAAGATGCACAGATTCTCATAAATCTTATCACTCAAAAAGGAAAGAAATAGAAGTAGCCATTGACATGAATGCAGAGAAAGCATAGTTCCCTTTGGCTGCAACTTATTGGAGCTGACTCAGTGATACAAAACTCATTTGTCTCTTACAATTTTGTTAACCAGCTCAGTAGGGTCAGTCAAAGTTAGTGTACTTCTATATAATGATCACAGACATGGTCATGATCATCATCATTGATAGTTAAATATTTTTTTCTTTTTAAGATTTCTTCACCGATTCATTGATTAATTGACTAATCCGAGAGCTGGGAAAAGCTCGAACTCAAGACAATTGATTAAGCTGGAACAACCACTTAGCAATTGATCCACGTGTTTGGTGGTTGATAGTTAAATTTCAATTAGATTTAAAATAAAAAGTTTAATGTTTATGATATATTGGGGAGAGACAAATAATCAAGAATCAACAGCTTTTTATTTATTGGATATAAATAGTCATGGTGTTCTAGATTACCACTTACCAGAACCAAGTACTAGTGCAGAGTGGAACCTTAGTTGCATAGAAATTCGCTCCATATTAATATGATGAAACATAAAATGTTAGTGTAGTATAGTATAGTAGTCTTTTGAAATATGTGTTCCATGATTAAATATTGACCGTACTCTGTGTAGTATATAAGTTTTAAACATTGTGATTGGAAATCCTACAAACTGCAGTGTTTCACCGTTTTCTTGCAAAACCGTGTAAAGGGAAAAGGTAAAAACTTTTAAAGAGAACCAAAACCAAAACTAGGGGTACAATTGAAATCATCACTCTCTGTCACTTCAACATGAACACAAGTGTGAAAGTGGAAGCAGAAAAGACAAGTTCTGATATAGCACATAAGTACGTGAGGAAAATGAAACATATATATAATAACTGCATAGGTATGCATTCTCGTTACAAGACCTGAGTTTTTAGTTACAATGACTGAAGCTGAAGGTCAACCTTATCATTAAATTATGAATACAAATATCCCCCATTCTATTATTTCAAACATTAAAAAAAAAAAATACTATATTGTGGTGGGTTGACTTTGTGATCCAATTATAATGAAAGCTTTTAATGGCGTATTTGTTGCTTTAGACTATAGGCATGTTTAATTTTGATTAAAATTGAGAAAATACTTGCCTTTTTAAAAAAAGTTAGTAAAAGTTTAGTTTTAAATTATTTAAAACATAAAATAAGCTTATCCAAACATAAAATATGTCTTAACTATTCTACTAAAAAAATGTCTTAACCATAAGCTTAACATTTGGAGTAAAATGAATGATTTGAATTAAGGCTTTGCCAAAGGAACAATTCAATAATTTTTCCTAATATGAAAGAAAAGCAATCTAACAATTGAACTTAATTAAACATTTATTTAGAATAGATCCCTTATATCCTCATTTATAATTTCTCTTCTATTTGGCATTGATTTACTTATCACCTCAACAACAAATTAAGTAGAAGGTAATAACTAACCAAGAAGCACCAGTAACATTAACCAAAAATAGTCATTTCTCGGGTTACTAAATAATTTGATTCAGTAAAATAGAAATAGGGTTAGGAAGAAGTATTG